CGCACGGTATATTATGTGTATTTATTTCTTTACCGTCTGTACCGCCACTAGAATGCAAGCTCCATGAGGAAAGGATTTACTATCTTGTTCACTGAAAAACTTCCTGCAACTGAGACTCCTACTGACACTAACTCTCAATAACATAAGATTAATTTGTAGAGTGTCAAAGTTTAGAATAAAGGAAAGACATTTAGATAAAGAAATTCAAATGACAGCTATTAAAAACATCGTAACTGGGACCAGCGGATGGCGTAATAGTTATGTCGCTGGACTCCCACAGAGTCGACCAAGGTTCGAGTCCCGAACCCAGTGGCTTAAAACTTACACTGGGTACAAGTGCATGCGTGCCCAAAATCCCAAGAGGAAAATGGAGGAGAAGGGATTGTGATGTGGTCATCCCCTCTAGGGGTTGACTTCTCACTTTCTGTCTCTCTGCCTGTCTCTGTCTCTCTGGCAAGCACATGCGCCCTATAGCAAAAACCTGTACGAAAATAATAAATAAAATTATGATAAAGTTTAAAATGTAAAAATGGTTCAGGAAAACTTTAGACAAATGTATGGGTCAACAGAGGGGATTTCAACAATTACCACATAACCTTGCTATACTAACAACCTTATCAAAACCCATGTCATACCGGGACACAGATGAGTGAGCCAAATGAAGTGACAAAGGGGCAATCCTGGGAACAATTCTTAAACCACTCCCCAGATAAAACACGCTTCATGGTACTACGCCACTTTCAAAGGAGCCTAAAATTTGGCTCAATTGACTTTTTTTTAAAGAATCACTTTTTATTTAACTTTATTTATTTTACTTATTTATCTTAATTTTATCAGAGAGGGACAAAATGAGAGAGAGAGGGAAAGTGAGAAAGCAAGCCTCCAGGTCTGGGACTCGAACCACGGTCGGCCATGTGGGAGTCCGGCACCCTTAATCACCATGCCACTACCAGTCCCTCAATTTACATTTTTCTGGTAGAAAATCAACAAATTAGAAAAGCAGTATATGAAACCATCGCAAAGTTTACCAAAAACGGCACGGATGCCACAGTTCACATGGCATTCCTTTAAGTACCTCCTCCAGCCACGCCCTTTTCACCCCAGTTCTCAGAAAACCTGGACTTCATGGCCCAGCTTCACATGGTCGGTGCATGTGAAAAAACACATATGAATGCATGGCACACTTTTCTAGGACATGAGCCCACAGATACCATCAAATTCTTCAAGGAGACCCCAAAACACTCCAGTCACTTCCTGACAAACGTTGCTGGCTACGACTGGTTCTCTCAGCGGTAATCAGTACTGAGTTCCTGGTAACCCCCAGGTACCTACCTCCATCCCAAATCCATGCGCACCAAACCCTTGCGACCAGCTGCCTGCAGTGCAGCTTCTGGACACTCCACAGGAGGCGCCCAATTATCGTAGGAGCAGGGACCACCACGCCCTCTCACCCTACCTGCCCTTCCCGCATCTTTTCTGGGTAACCAGCATCGCCTTCCATCCGGCTTTCCCAGACAGGCTTGTGGGCACAGGGACGTTTGTAACTCCCTTGCAAATCACAGTTCTACCTCTTAATGATCTCCTACGGTATTACCACTTCTTCCTACTCCGCCAACTCTGCCACTACCTGGAGCTGGTCACCATCATGCCATCTCTGGAACGTAGTAGCAGTTTTCTCTTAACTTGTTTTCCTGTCTCCATGTAGTTCCTCTACAAACCACTCTCCATGCTACAAACCTCTGTCTGAAATACACCCTGACAATGCTCCTGGACTAGCAAGGGCATGCGGGACCCTGATCTGGGCCCCGCCTACCTCTCACCCTGTCCCACACATGCTACACCACTCAAGTACCCTGTCACATCAATGAACCTCTCCCTGAAACAGACTACCCTACCAAAGTTAACTCCCAATCACCTTCCAAGCTCAATTTAAATGTCATCCGAACAGAGAGGCCTTTCCTGATCCGGTGCCTCTATCCACCAGCACCACAGAGACTAGTCATCTGTGTGCTCTTATAACAGAGACCCAAGCTTATCACTACCACGGCAAACACCGGACTGAAAGGTCCTCTTCAGTATCTGTGAGTTAAAGTGGAAGCATCTTGAAAAGAGGGACATACCTACTGTATTATGCTACAGTCCCTCGCTCATACCCTAGTCGTAACCCACACAAGTAGGACTTTCAAATGCGTCAATGAGTGAATTGCTCTTTGCATTTTCTGGGCACTTAAAAATGTCCACTGCAGGAACATTTAATCTCTCTGCAACAGTGTATGAGGACACATAAGAAATTAATTTTCAGCACCCGGCACCAAAAAAAAAAAAAAACACACAAAAGCTCTGATCTATGTTTAACAGTTAGAATATATGCGTATGCCCCTTTGGCCGACCTGATCAACTCGGATACCTGCTGAAAAGATGTCCATTGCTCTCTTCAACTCTCCTCTTGTCCGCTGGTTGCTATTTAAGTCTACGAGTGGAGTTGAAGGGTCTCGCATGTACTCTGACTCGGCTGCAAACATTCCACCATCAACAAAACGTTCAGGGGCGATATAGCAAGTTCTCCTCCGTGAAGTGTCAAAGAAATAATTAAAATCTGCTGGGTTGTCCTCCGGGAGGTAAGTGGGTTTGAAACTGGCAAAGTCAGTCAGAAGAACCCAGTTCCAGCTGGTGACCATCACGTTCTCGGTCTTGATGTCCCCATGACGAACTCCAGACTTATGTGCCTGGTCCACAGCGGTGAGGATCTGGAAAGCAATCCAGCGCTTCTCGATGTTATTTAAGAAGGGCCGGGTACTGATGCGATCGTAGAGGTTGTCTCTCACATACTGCCTGAAGAGCATGGCCGCTTTCTCAGAGGCTCGCTCCGCTGCTTTCTGGAAAGGCAGACAGTTCTGTGCAGAATGGAGCCTAATTTTCAGTTCCTCCAGCTCTTGTTTATAGCTGGTTAAAGGCAGTGTGGGATCCTGAATTGCAAAGACCTTCACAACTACCAGGCCTTCTCTGTGCTTTGCTCGAGCAACTTTAAAAAACCGGGTACTACCCAGGCTCTTGTCATATTCGAAGTCATGGATGTCTGAGAAATAACTCTCCACAGAAAGGATCTGAGAAGGAGCAATACCAGCAAGCTGATTTCCCATAATGGCAGACACCTCCCGGTCAGTATGTTAGGAGACAATACCTATTACTTAGAAAAAAAAAAAAAAGACAAAAGACAAGAAAAGAACAATGAAACACCATTACTTAGCCTCTTCCACTGACGGCCTTACGAGCAGGCTTCCAGGCAACTTCTAAATTTCAGACACTCTTATTTAAAAACGACTTGCTATTTAATCCAAAAAGATGTGACTCCATGTCTTCCTTTCTAGAAGTGGAACTATATATTTAAATAGGCCCCTTCAAAAATAAGACAAAAATGTTAGAATGTGCAGCTTCTGACATTTAAATTTAAAATACCAATGACCCTTGGGACCAGCAGTTGGCGTAATGGCTATGTCGCTGGACTCCCATGTGGTTGACTGCAGCTCAAGTCCCGGACTTGGTGGCTTAAACTTACGCTGGCACGTGTGCGCGCGTGCCCAAGATACGAGAGGAGAATGGAGGAGAAGGGATTACCGCGTGGCCATCCCCCCGGGGGGGTGATTTCTCACTTTCTGTCTCTCTGTCTCTTCCTGGCAAGCACATGCGCCCTATAGCGAAAAACCTCTCAAAAAGAAAAATATATATATCAATGAGCCTTTATTATCTGCTCAGTACCATGCTTGGGGCTGTGAGCGTCCGGAAGTACTCTAAAACACAGTGTTTGTCCATGAAGAGCTCGCAGTTTCCCGGATGTAAGAAACAGACACATGGGGATGGTGGGTGGCATGGCAGTTAAGGCGCTGGACTCCCACGTGGCCAGCCACGGTTCGTGTCCTGGACCTGGCTGCTTGCTTTCTCATTTTCCCTTTCTGTCTTTCTCTGGTCAAATTAGAAACAAAAATAATAATAAATCAACAAGTATTTTTTAAAAGACACATTAAAAAGTCAGAATTATGAAGCACCGAATGTTAACAGATTATTGAATTCTTGTGGTCAAACTAAGCATGCAAAAAAGTATCTCCCCGGCCCTTCGGGCCTAAGCCGGCGTCCCGCCTGAAAGGTGTGGCTCCCGGGCCGCCCGACGACAGAAGGAAGCCCTGGCGGAGACGGTCACGGAGAGACGCGAACGCGGCCCAGGGTGGAAGTCGGGTCTGCAGGAGGCCAGTCTGCCCCTGTCGGCACGGGCACACACGTCACATGCATATCACACGCCCGCACACGCATGTCACGCGCGCACACACACTTACCCCCGAGGCCCCCGCGCGCTCATGCCCCGCACGTCGGGGCCGGGCGGCCGAGGGCGTCGGCGCGGAGC